GCTGCCCAGCCACCAACGCCGACACCGCCAGGCCAGCAGCTGACACCCGACGCCTTTGCCATTGTGGAGCGGGCGCAGCAGATGGTGGAGATGCTCTCCGAGGAGAACCACGTGCTGCGGCAGGAGCTGGAGGGGTACTACGAGAAGGCAGACAAGCTGCAGAAGGTATGTGGAGAGGTGGGGATGGGGCCTGCGCAGGGCAACCGTCTTCATGCTCCTGCATTTGGGTCCCCCAAGATGTTCTTCATGGTCATGCCACTGCAATGGAGACTGCCACCAGTGGCCATCTCTAACCATTACCTCTCCATTGTGGTCTCTCAGAAGTGTAATCCTGTGCCCCATGGCCTGTGGGCTCCCCTGCCTTTAGGGTGAAATGGAGCAGCCTATCACATGTCTCTCAGTTGGGGACTTTCCCCTTCTATCCTTCCATGCTGGCCTCACCAGAGCTTTCCCTGGAAGTCTTCCATGGGCAGAGTTTGCTCCTGGTGCAGCTGAGTCCTGCACCATCTGCACAGGCGGTAGAGTTGCTTGGTGAGAAGCATTTGAAGAGCGTGGCTGCATTTGTCCTGAGCGGTCTTGTCCACCACCATATGCTCGCGTGGCACTTCATGGTCGTTGGAAGTGTAACAGCCGTCGGTGGGGTTGCCCGTTATTTGGAAATGCGTTAACTTGGTTGTCTCAGAGGCTTTCAGTGACTGCTTGATGAGTTTCTAAGAGCTGATGTTAGACACCCACCTTTGAGCATGTTGGTTCAAAAAGCACTGCCCCCTTATCTGAAAGAACCATTTGGTAAAGGTTTTGCTAAAAAAAACCTTTTGCAAAGAGAACCCGCACCCTCTTTTCTGTATGCAAGCCGGCATTTTCAGTGGAGAAGGGCAATGTCTTGCACACTGCCTGGGGTGACAAGGGTGACAAGATGAAGAATCAAATCAAAGTAGAAGTTGCTTAAAAATGAGAGCTCACCGAAGGCAATACAGAGATGCTCCCCAGATCTGCTGGCTTTGGGTCCCAAGGGCCCAGACCAAATGAGTTATTTAGGATTCTACACTGCTGTTTCATTTATGTCTTCCCACCACTTACGCACAAATGGGCTTAGGCTGCAGGTCTTTTTTCTCTGAATTTAGGAGTCTAAATAGGAGCTCTGTTTTTTCTGTGCTGTGTGAGATCAGGGTGATCTTGGAGACACCCTTCACAGGAGGAGAGGAAGCTCTGAGAGAGCATGTCCCAGCCTCAGCTTTGGGAAAAATCTGTGACAAATCTGTTAAAACAGGTTAGAAAAAAGACCTGTTGTTTTGTAGCTGCTGTTGTCTTTGCAGCCTCCTCCTCTGCAACCAGATGAGTTAAGTTTTTTCACAGGATTTCCTAAACTTACTTGAGAAATTTTTGCAGCAACGTTAACTATTTGTGAAGACATCTGCAAAGATTTTAATGCTGACTTCTCTGTGGCTTTCATGGGCAAAAAGAAATATTCCAGCTATTAATTTTACAAAAGCTGCGTTGTTCGGTAAAAGGTATTTGAGTGCAATGCCCTAAAAATATTCTGATTTCCTTTTACACTCTTGGAAATGGCTCTCTCTTTATCTTGGATGCCCCGAGAGTCGATTGCATCAGACACCAACAGAAAGGTATTCAAGCATGGACTGAACTCTCACTTTAGTCAACAGAGTGTGGACTCACGTCCCGTTGACTTTGGGGGAATGTAAGCTGAGTATTAAAATGAAACACATGCTGAAGTGCATTCTTTCTTGAGGAAGGTGTCCTGAACCAAAGCCTTAACACACAGTATTGCTCCCATGCTGTTTTTTCTGTGTTTGAACACAAGGACTTCGTTCCCACAGTTTCAGCTGAACATCACCTCTGAAAACGTGACAATGAGTTAAATTACATACTTAGGGTGTGAAAACTCTTCCTTCTTACTGGAAGTGGAAGGGTCAGGAGGAGTACTTTTTGTCTGTGCATAACAAGTTTATTCTAGGTACGGCTACCCTCCCATCACTTTTACTCATTACAGAATAGGAGAAGAAATTAGAGAAACTCAGCTTGACATGGAGGGCTCCCTGGGCATTCGTAAGAACAGATCAGCCCTGAGGGCTGTCAAATTTTCATTCATGTCTGAACAGACTTTTCGCAGAGAGGTACAAGGTGGTGATTAATGTCTATGCTGTTGAACAAGTTGTCTGGTTTTCTTACCTAAAAAGAGTTGGGCGGGGGAAGAGGGGCTGTACACACTTTATTTTGAGCTTTTTTTTGCAAAAGCAAAGTATTACTTTATCTTTTGGTTTTTTTGCTGTTGTTTTTTGTTGGGCAGTGTTACCTTGCTGAAGTTTAATTGCCAGGCTGAGCTGGCTCTTCCCCATACCATGTGTGTGGGTTGTTTGAGTGGGTTGGCTCTAGGAGCTACCAGGCAGAGAAGAGGCTGAACTGTTTTTTCCCCTCCATAGAGGGGCGGGGAAGGAAATCCCAGAGCTGCTGAGAAACGCCGACACAATTTATGGATGTTTTTCTGCTCTCCTTTAATTTTGTTCAGTGCCGATGGAGATTCTTTCTTTTCCTGCAGCAAGTCTTTGCTGGAGGAGACCTATGTGGTGATGTTTTGGGAAATAATGGCAGATAATGGGCAGAGCAGGGGCCTTGTGGTAACCAGCAGCATTGGGCAGGACTGTTGGGCTGTGGAAGCCCCCTGCCATGTTGGCAAATCTGCTTCACTGTGGTAGGAGCTCTCTGGAGCAGGCATCTTCTCCTGCAGGTATTGGCTCACGCGGGAGAAGGGAGGCACAGGAACCAGTGGGTGTCAGGGCACCCAGCTGAGCAGTGTCTGGTTGGGATCATGTGGTTAAGGATTCAGGAAAGTGCTTAAAAAATATTTTTGCTAAGACAAACCTTCCTTTCAAGGAGAGAGAAGCTCAATCTGCTTAAATGGTCAAGGAGAGCAATGCAAGGTAGCTTGAACACAGCCTCTAACTACTTATAGGAAGAGAAAACTTTTGCTAGTGGGGAACACACTGATTGAAAGAAAAAGCTGTGACAGAATCAAGTAGCTGAAACGATGCAGTTACTGGAGTAACTAATCAACATGTCATCTTGATTCTGGAAAATTCACATGAAAAAGATTTTTGATTGTAGGTCATAGTGACAGTTATAGTGACTAGACTATTTCAGGTGGAAGGGGCCTACAATGATCACCTAGTCCAACTGCCTGACCACTTCAGGGCTGACCAAGTTAAAGCATGTTGTTAAGGGCATTCATTGTCCAAATACCTCTTACGGACAGACAAGCTTGAGGTATTGACCACCTGTCTAGGACGCCTGTTCCAGTGTTTGACCACCCTCTCTGTAAAGAAATGCTTCTTAATGTCCAGTCTAAAGCTCCCTTGATGCAGCTTTGAACCATCCCCATGTGTCCTGTCACTTGATCCCAGAGAGAAGAGATCAGCACCTCCCTCTCCACCTCCTCAGGAAGCTGTAGAGAGCAATGAGGTCGCCCCTTAGCCTCCTTTGCTCCAAACTAGACAAACCCAGTGTCCTCAGCCACTCTGCATAGGACATCCCTTCCAGCCCTTTCACCAGCTTTGTTGCCCTCCTCTGGACTCATTCAAGGTTCTTCACAGCCTTCTTAAATTGTGGGGCCCAGAACTGCACACAATACTCAAGATGGTTTTCTCAAAAAAGTTCAGACTTTTTGATGAGGCTTTGTACAAGCTTGCATTTCCATGCATATGAGGAAAAATAAACTCATTGACTTTTTTTGAACCACAGTAAGGTTCAGTCTGAATTTCAAACAGGTTTGGATTTATGCACCATTCCTCTGAGTGTGCTGTCCTCGTGATGGGAACATGCTTGGTGTCTGGATGAGGAAGAAGGACCTGCTTTTCTAGATGTGGTTAGGGAAAATGTAACGGGGCTTCCTCAAGCTCCTGCTTTAAAAAAAACAAAATGGAAAGTCAGAATAATCTAAGTTTATAGTTCAACCAAGAAAGAGTTGCCATGACATGGGATACAGCCAGTTCAACAGGTCATCCTCTTCTTGGACCTGTGGAGAATTGTCAGCTGAGAACTAGTCTACATATGGTACATTTTAATGTCATGCATGTAGGGGAGTGGCTTGTATGTGAAACACCTGTGAGCTGTTAGTTCACCAGTGGTGTGAGATAGGTGATGTGATACCCAGCAATCCAAAGCTGCTGGTATCACAGGGGCCACAGCATGGGCTTTGCACATTGCCACTTTTTTCAGCTTTTGTTCCTGAGCGAGCTGAAAGCAGAAATTGGGGAAGTTAACCGGGTTTCCCCATCACGGCTCTGCCGGGCTTTCCTCGGTGAGTGGTTTGGAGGTGCTGTGTCATGGGAAGTGTGTTTGGAGTGGCCCTGGTGTCATGGGAAGCACAGGTCCAGGCCTGGAGCCTGGCTGCAGGTTCCTGTGCAGGCAGTGGGGTGACAGCTTCAGCATCTCTGGAGGTTTTATTCTGCAAATGCTGCAGCTGGCAGATTACACCTAAAGCTTAATGAGCCCTGAAGAAGGGCCTACCTCCAGAGCAAGTGGAAGTGGGCTTGCACCCTGGCTTCACAAATAACAAATCTGTCCCACCCAAAATTCAAGAGGCTAAAAAAGCACCAGATTTAGAAAGGTATGTGGGAGACTATATATATCTCTTCGTTTTCCAGCCTGTGCACATTATCAAGCTTTTCTCTGCAAACGCAAGGGCTCGGCATGCAGGAGCAGACTCCCACATCAGTGTTGATCATTCCTGCAGCAATGATTTCAGCAAAGCACCTAACAAGACACTAGCTTATTAAAAGAGCTGAATGGGATTGACCTGAACAGCAAAACTCTGCCTGGGACTATCCTCCTCTCAGTATTTTGGTTTCTGGTCTTAAGATGCAAGTTCACTGCTGAGGGCTTCCTCTGCATGCTTTTCCTGCAGTTTGCCAGATTTCAAGGAGATGAAGTTAAGAAGATTGAAAACCCAAAACGATTGGTTTGGTCTGTTATAATTTCTTTTTGTATAGAGCAGCCTTTGGGCAAGGATGGAAAGGAGCAGACCACAATAGTTTTAAGACTGACATGAGGTCAGAGCTGAGCCTAAAGCATTCCTGGTGGCATGCAGAGCTTACAGCTAAGTTTTGGATCAAGGATATGAAGGAATAATAAATTTTGCCTCCTAAAAC